CCATTACTCTGTCATATTTGTCGAGCCTCTATTATGTAACGACCTTTACTCGGTCCTATTTGTCAAGCCTCTATTCTGCAAAAAAAATATTTAACGATTAAATAAAATAATTGAATGAAAACTAAAGAGACAAACGCTAAAATTCAAAATTGAAAGCTATGATTCAAATCAGGTATATATGTGATTCGAATCAAGAAACAAAAATCCTAAAAATTAAAATGCATGAAAAATAACTTTTATGAAATTGCAAAAATGGTAAGTGAGATTTTCAAATGCTAGATTATTCTAAGGAATATTCTAAAAAGGTTAATGCTAGATGAAATTTTTTTTTAATGATGCATGGATGAATGAAGAATCCTATGGACAAAGGGATGCATGTATACCGAGCAAACATATACCACATGAACAAAATACACTACACCAAACAAACAAATATGAACAAATAATTAAAGGTACACTAATAAAAGGTAAAAGAGAGTGAAAAACTATACCAATTTTATGATATAGGCTCTAACTTGCTGCACAAGTAATGTATAGTACACAAAACTTAAACAGAAGTACAAAACAATCAAAATAAAATACAATTGGATACGTCTTACATTACACATTTGGAGAGAAATTCTCAAACACTCCTTAACGAGATATCAAATGAAGTGGAATGAAACATGTTCTAATTAAATTTGCTTGTGTCTTCCCATCAATGAATGATTAATTACTTTGTTGCTTGAACTTATGCATCAAAACGCTTGAATAAATCTTCAACATTTGATAGAAATTTGACTTACTCAAAAACTTGTTACTTTGAGTCTTCTCATATGCTTGTTGAACAATTTAAAAAAAATACACCAACATCTTCATAGAAACTATCTTCATATTCCTTGGTGGTGACCTTGGAAGAGTAAGTCTTCAAGGAGACACTTCTACTTTCTTCTAACAATCCTTATCTCCTTTTTTATATTAGATTTAGATGCTTTAAGCTTCATGATAAATCATCTTTCTAAACACAATTGAAATATTTAAAGTCTTCACGGCTAGGAGGTCATTCCTGCACATAGACCTTAATACTTTGTCAGGTAAATCTTGGTTAGATAAAGTCACATTGAAATTCTAACAGGTGATTATATAAACTTTTAACATAATGATATTAGATTGTTGCACATAACTCAAAGTCATTTAATCAACTAATATCAAATAAGAAACATGACGTTTATTTAATTGTCTAGATTCCGCTATTTCTAAGTTAGGAGACTAAAGTATTTGAATTGTACTATTGCTTCAACATTCATATAATTTAGTAAATGATCAAATACATAGGAGAATGTTTGAGTGAAAGTGAGAGAGATCTCAGATTTAGGGGGAGCTTGGAACCAAACCAAATTAATTGGGCTGGTTTGGTTTAGTTTAGTTCGGTTGATCGATTTACAATATTTTTTCAAACATTATACTCATATGTGTATTATCCACTATCGTATTTTCTGTGTATTTTATGCTATTATTTTTTAAAATAATAAATTTCATGTAATTTATTTCATGCTCTATTTTTTCAAACTGTTCTTAACATATACGAAACAGATACATGATTTCAATTGCATCATGAAATAAGTTCATTAGAAAATATAAAAGTTGTCACTTGAGATCAGAAGGTTGAGAAGAGATTTGAAAGCTTAACAAAAAACACAACTATAACAACAAAAAATTTCAATATACATATATTAACATGTTTTACACCTCAAACACACATTAAAAATATTTTGTAACAAAACTATAAAGAATTTTGTTGAAGAAGAAGAAACAAAAAAAGGTATAAAAAATATGAAAACTAACGAAGAGAATTTGAACACAAAAAATATGATCATAACATATCTAAAATTCGGACACTTGCAATACAGAGGTCAAGACTGATGTCTTAACTCAGAAAACACGATGTCAGTACAGATGTTATAACATCTGTTGGCAGAAACCTGATGTTGATTGTGCAGAAAGATAAATTATAGAAATTTTAATAACACAATCAATTGTTAATCCAGTTCAGTGCAACATTACCTACTCTGGGGGATACTAAGCCAGTAAAGACATGCACTATATAGTATTAGTTAAAATCCTAAACAATCTCAATTTACAACTTTCCTCCTAATCACTACTTCGTGCAACTTTACTTAGGAACCTCCTAGATATGAGAACCTCTAACTTTCAATCACTGCAGTGATAAATAAACTAGTTACAATCCTGGTAATTAGTATAAAAAATAGAAGATTACACTTTTTTGTACACCAAAATTTTTCCTCTCATTTATCAATTATTTTTCTCACAAGATCTCCTTTGGTTGAAGACTGCACAAGGATTGATCAGCTCAAGACACCTCCTTAAGCACTGATGACTAAAATTAGGGTTGAGATTGCACAAGGATAATTGAATTTTCAATGCCTCATATGGCTTTCATGGATCATTGTGGACCCCTAAGATTATTCATGTCAAGTTTTAAGCCTTGAATCACATTTTTGCTCAGTCAATTGAGCAGTTGACCTAAAAATCAACTGTATTGGGGAAAAAGTCATTTGTGGTTAATTTACAGTCAAAATTCATAATTTTTTATCCACATCAACATTATAAACTCATATGTATCATTTTATCAAGTTTGGACCATAATTCCTCAAGAAATTTGATCAAATCATCAAAAGGGCAAAATGGTCAAAATTAGGGTTTTGACTGAGAAATAACAATTTCTGACTTTTGACCTAGCAAATGGTTAATTAGTTTGAGGCATAATCTCAAGATTTCAATTGCATCATTTTTAACTAATGGCATGACTTAAAACATTGCTCAAGATCATTGGATTGATAGTTGATTTTTAGTCAACTGATCAAAAGTCAACTGTACACTGAAAAGTCAAACTTTGACTTTTTGGTCAAAATCAAGTGTCAAAGATCATAATTCATAAAAACATGTTAAAATAGGAAAATTATTCATCAATAAATCAAAAAGTCAAGATTTCATTTTGAAAAGTCAAAGTTTTCAAACTTAGAAATTTTTCTAAGTGTTAAAAACTTCATGTTTTTTCACAGCTTTGAGCAAATTTTCACCATGATGCAAGATGATTCAAAAGAAACTTTCAACATGAAAGTTGTAGATATCCATAAGATATACAACATTTTTTACACAACTTCTTCTAAAAGTGCTTGGGTCTCAAGTTATTAATTCATGAAGTCATAGTCTTGAAACTAAACACTTAGTGAAATTTTGAACATTTTTTGTCAGGATTTTGACCTAACTACTGACGCAAGTTTCACCTATTTCCAAGGGGAATTTCCAAAAGTGATTCAAAGAGGGGTTGTAGAGCACATTACAAGCTTCCCAAAATTTCCTAGAACTCCTTGAGATCCTTTGTGAGCAAGGAGAATTGAAGGTCAGAAGTTGGGGTTTCAAGTTGTTTTACAAGGCAAATTTTGTGATGAACAAAATTCAAATCTCAAACCTATGCTGCATAATATTTGCTTTGTAGGCCTCAAACTTGTTAGACACTCCATAATTAATTGCTCGCACAATCGTTAGAGGTCTCAACTCAAGCATTCAATGCAATGCCATGCTTTATATCCATTTTAGGAAGAAAGTGCACAATGCCATTTTGAAAAAGTAGCTTTATGAACAAAACTTGTTCTTGAGCCTTGCAATTATTTTCTTCTGATCATACACGTCCTATAACTCAAGAGAAGTTTGTCTCAAGCCTTATAATCACTCAGCCCATGCTTGTACTTCATCTTGGAACCATACATTCACTTTTCTTCAAAATCAAGAAACCTAGCCATAACTCTATAACTCAAATACTTTGTGCAAAACCTCTCCAACCTTTTGCTTATACATACACAAGTCCTTGGTAAGAAAACACACACATGCTTAAGCCCTAAAAACACCAAGAACTCAGAACTGCATGATATACCTCCATTCTTGCATAACCTAACCAAAAGTTTGAAACTCACACCTCACTCGTGCATTTTCAAGCCTTTTTGTTCCTAAAGCTTCCAAACATCATTATAACTCATCCCACACCCTATTACAAGACCGTAACACCATTAACACCATCCTCCATTTTCAAAAACAGAGCTTTGCACTTGGACTTCTCCAGAACTCCTCAGGCACTTTCAGCTCAAGCTAAGCATCACATTAGCTTCCTGGGAACTTGAGGAAGCTAATCCAATTGTTGGAACTCATTAAAAGCTACTCAAACTCAAAACACGATACCCTCTTGCAAGGTGAGTTTTCTGACTTTTGAACTCTTCATACAAGCATCATTAATGTTTAGTTTGTGAATGAAAAATGTAGACATCATTGTTCTGAAGCTAACAATGTCTTTAGATTTCATTTATATTGCTTAAGTAGTTAGAATTTTGAATCTGAACATCTTGGAAAAATTAGGCCAGAATTTGGTACCATTCAAAATTCATGCTTATTTTTTATCTATAGCTTTAGTTATTTACATGTCTGGAATCGTGGTGAAATTTGCCACAAGTTTCATGTTTACATTTTTGCAAATGGATGAGAAATGAACAAGACGCAGGTGGTCCGGCCAGAGGTTGAAGATGAAGTTGTTTTCATGAAGCAGTTTCTATTATATATTTGTTGTTTTGCAGAAGTTAACGGATGTATCACTGCCCCAGTGGTTAAAGCGCACACCTGTCACCCTTAGGTCCTGGGTTCAAGCCCCAACGTGACCTTTTGCAAATTGTTTTACATTTTTCTCATTTTCTGACTTTTTACAGC